CAGTGGAACTGCATCTGCCAAGGGCACAAGCACAGAGGCAATGCATCACCCACTCCCACTGTCGTTCAAACATGCAGACAGAGTCAGTCAGGCATTCCTCAGGGAATCCTATGTGTGTTGTCTGACACAGCCACTAGCTATACTCTGTTCATTCTGCAGCCAGGCTCAGACAGATAATGGAACCATCCATCCACAAAAACCAGGTTGAACAGAATTTATGCTGAGGATATTTTCGGGAGAAGAAGAGGGAGGGCTGTTTGTGGAAGGAAATGAAAAGAAGTCACAGTTCCATAATGCTAGGAATTTAACACGGCATGCAGTGCTTTTGAAAACCACTCAAAAGCAAATCAACTGAATATGAACTCTTCAACTCTAGTTCATTTGAATAACAGGGCTAAAAAAATCTGTTCAAAATTAAGTTCAAAAGATGGCTTCTCTGATTGTCATGGCACATTTCAGTTCATCTCATGTCCTTCCTTTAAAAAAAAAAAAACACTTTTCTCCTGTGCTGCTATGGTTAATGTCTGGTACTGTATGTAGCATGATGTCATAAAGAGAAATCACTGTTTTGTCCATGTGCAGTTTCCCCATGGCTTTGGTGCCATCTAGTGGTAAATTAACTATAAAATATTGTAAAGACAATCATACTATGTGCAGATGATATAATATATTGAGATAAAACAGTATTGTTATGCAAATAAGTATACTATAATACAGATATTCTAATGTCTTTTGATTTCTCCTTATATATCTTGTTCCATTCAAAAGTTTAGGGTTGGTAAGATTTTTTTGTTTTTTGAAAGAAGTGTCGTATGCTCACCAAGGCAGGATTTATTTGATCACATGTCCTTCCGAAATCATTCTAATATGCTGATTTGCTGCTCAATGTTGAAAACAGTTCGCTGCTTAATATTTTTGAGAAAATGATACATAGCTGTTTAGTCACAAAGACCAGCAATCATGAATTATATTATGCCACAGCATTAGCATTATGTGCTTTTAATGATTCCCAATAAATAATTATGAAATGTGTTTTCAAGCATTCTAATAAATATAGTAGAAGCATTTACAATAATGTAAAAGAATAGAATGATTAATTTTTTGGTATTTGTCTGTCATTTCAAGTGTTAGGGGGCTCTGACAGACTGAATGCTATCAGTGCCAATCAAATTATTTATTTGTATGTGTGTGTGTGTGAGATTGGGTCAAAGCCATTAGACGTGTCATCTGGGCTCCCTTTGGAGGAGGTAGCTTATTTACCTGGACCTCACACACAAATAAGACCCAAGGCAGCATTCTATCTTACGAGGCAACATAGTCAAGAAAACAATAAAACTAAACTAGAAAGTATATGTCTGGTTTTCTCACCTTGTTTGGGTAGAGTGAGTGATTTTGGGGTGTCTGGAATAATGGCAAACGTTTTAATATAATTTTAATGATATTAAATATTCACCACAGAATATGGTGACCAGACGTCCCGTATTCCAGGGACAGTCCCGGTTTTTGGTGTCCTGTCCCCGACTGAAGCTGTCCCAGGCAATGTCCCCGTTTTACAGCACATTCAAAAAAGCCCCGCAAATACACTGTAAAAAACCCAGCCATATAACCTGCTGGTTTCCAGATCAATGTAGTGATTATTTTCACCGACAGAGGGGGCTGCAACCCCCAACCATTAATTGGTCGCGCGTGGCTACTTTAGAATGTAACCAGGAGCCAGTTGCATAAACATAGACACTGTGCTAAGAGTCTTAAGAACTAGTTTGACCAACTAGCAGTTAGTTAGATAAATCAGTCTCACTTTTCTGATTAAAATTGGGCCAATCTACATTTTTGTAACTGACTTTAAACAGTTATGACCAGTCTAGAAGAAAACAAATTAGACGGCTAACTTTTTAAGACTAGTCTTAGCAGTTTATGCAACCGGCCCCTGGACGAGAGCAGAGCTTTTGTTATCATCAATTATCAAAAGATACACCGTTATCAGTTTAAAGGTAGCCATTTACAAACTATTCATGTTAAATCAAAGTAATACTGTTTCTTTGTACAATATAACTGCTTGAAGAGGGTGCTGGATTATTTGCACAAAATTATGATCTTCACAAAACATTATAATGTTCACAAAAGTTCAGCTGTGGGTGAAAACTACACCCTGATGTGAATAATAATAATAATAATAATAATAATAATAATAATAATAATAATAATAAACTAGGCAATTACACATGCAACAATTACATTTGCAAACAGCACGTACTTTGTTCTCAAAACGAGCCTAAAATGTTAAATAATTAGCCTAATTAGTGATAGATAAGATACATTTCCAAAAGTACAAACATATACAATTTCAAAAGTTAAAAAAAGTTATTATTATTATACAGTATATTCATAGAAAAATGTAAATATGTAAAGTCATAATTTTGTTATAATATGTTACTGTTTTGATCTGTTTGTTATTTGTAATAGTTACTATTTACTATTTTTCATAGTGTGTGTGATTTTTCGTGAATTGTACAGCTAGGGTCAATTTGACAAATATAATCATTGTTATTAATTATAATAACAGGAACCCACAACAATATAAAAACTAAAATATACAAAAATGTATTGTCCCCGTTTTTTTAGTTCATAGATAATAACAAGGGAGATCATATTTTGACCACTGAATTAGGAAATGTCTCCGGTTTCCATTTGAGACATCTGGTCACCTTAACACAGAAAGACTGTTATGTGTCCCAGAAAGAATGCAGTTATTTCTGATACTTTGAACTTCAGACCGATGGCAACATTTGTGACAGTTCAATAAAAATAAGTTAATATTAAGTAACTTACATTTTAGACGGTTACTTTGTCTATTTTTGCTCGTTAAAGAACTTGTTTCCAAACAAAACCTTAAAGTGCCCCTATTATGCTTTTTCGAATATTACCTTTCATGCAGTGTGTCATGTAGCTGTATGTGAACATAAACTATCTGCAAAGTTGTGAAGCCGACAGTGCACGATAAATAAAGTTATTGTCTATCAAAAAAAAAAAAAGAGTCGGCTCGCAATCGCCTAAAGGAGTCGTCCGGAATTCGAATCTTATTCTGTTACGGCTACGTCACGAAGTCTGCCCGCGTTCTATGTCGCCAACTTGCCCGCCCACAAACAGTAAAATTTCCTTGTGGTTAGCATCATGTCAAGAAGAATTTGTTTTATCACATCTTATATTTGCCACAAACTTGTTAACACTTGACACTTAACCACTGAGAAACGTCCTGCTCCAGTTGTGCTTGCGAATCAGTCTCTTGTCTATCAGCCAGTACAACCGTTTTATCCTCAGACTCCGGCTCGAAATGGTAAGGTACATTATGATACCATCTTTTCTATTCATTGACAAGTCTCCAGGGCTGTCACTCCATCATGGCAATGGGCGTTTCGTTTCCGACACGCGCTGTACCTGGTAGACCAATCCAGAGCCAATCTCTCTACGGCTCTGGACCAATCACAAAGGACTGCGCCATCTGACCAATCACAGCAGTGAGGGCTCAAGGAAAGGAGGGGTTTAGAGAGACTGATTCTTTCAACTGCTTCGCACGAGTCGTTTACGAATCATTTAGAAATGAGGTCAAATTAAATCAATTTTTTTAGAAAACTAACGTGTTTTTTTTACATTGCATGCATGTAAACCTGTTTTAGGAGACTCATAAAACAATATTAGCAACCTTAAAAATGGCATAATAAGGGCACAAGGAAAATGGCCGTTGCGATTCTCAGCACAGTACGTGGTGTTTCGTTTCTGAATGAATCAGTGATTTGAACGAATCGGTTCATTTAATCATTCAGTGACTCACTCTAAACTTGTTTTGTTCCTCAGTAAATTACTGTTCTGAACGAATAGGTTGACTTTTATGAATATATGACTCACTTGTAAAGATTATCTGCCTCCACCTACTGTCTTGATGTAACCTTCCTAAAACAGTGTTGTGTTTGTTAACTAATACTAAAATTGAAACAGTTAAAAAATTGTTTTTGTTAACTGAAATAAATCTGAAATGAAATAAAATATACCTTATGTCAAAAACGTAAACTTAAAAACGTTAAAAGAGCATATGAAATGTTGCCTTTGCAACTAACTGAAACAAAGTTGAAGTACTGAAATTACTAAAACTGAAATAAAAATCGTTTAAACTAAAATTGAAATAATAATAAAAAAAAAGACAAAAGCACAAAATAAAATTGCTAAAACTTACGCTAAAATTAAAATGAAAACTCCATATAAATAATATAATGCTAATTCATGCTATAACAGATACATAATCCTAAAATATAATTGGTCTGCAACATACAACAAGGCAGAGTGATAACAGTGGTCCCAGTGCTGCTGGACTGTATATCAGCACTTGTGGAATGTTGCAATCACTACAGTTGTCTATTTAAATAATCCTAAAAAGTCAGAGTATTTAAATCGTTGTGTAAATAATTCTAATCAAGATATCGCTGGGGTAAACCTGGGCATTGATGGGTTAAGCAATATGATACTTCTCTGTGTAATCACTTGTGCTCATCCCACATTCTCTCCACACTCTGTGAAGCTACCATTAGTGAAGTGAAGTGAAGTGAAGTGACCCTGAAATTACAATGAAAGAGGGCAAAAACAGGTGTGCACACACTCACTCACATTCTCATGCATCACTGTTCACTGCCTGAAGTGGACTGCTGCCCATGCCAGCAGGGATCTGTCATGTGCCTCATGCCTGAAGTTAAAGCTCTGTCTTGTCTGTTCGCTTATCGTGGCTTGTGTGTGCTTGCTGAAGATTGTAGTATACGAGGCAGAACCAATGTATTGCGAGGTAGGATAGGACACTGTATATTCTTTGACACAGTCAGTTTTGGAGATTTAATTGAATTTTGTTTAACATATTTTGATTTCTAACAGTTTGATAATGTCTTGGCAGGTTTGCAAATGTGTTTTATACAATATCACTGTTTTTACACGTTTCTCTGGTGCTTGTATAATTGTAGGTATCTTTGGCCAGCACCTGGAGGACACAGTACAGTATGAGAGAAAGTTTGGACCCCGACTGGCCCCTCTGCTGGTGGAGCAGTGTGTGGATTTCATACGGGAGCAGGGTCTGAAAGAGGAAGGTCTCTTTAGGATGCCAGGACAGGCCAACCTGGTCAAAGAACTCCAGGATGCTTTTGACTGTGGGGATAATCCTCTGTTTGACAGGTAAGACAAGTTCGAAACATCCTTTTACATTTACATTTAATCATTTAGAAGACGCTTTTATTCAAAGTGACTTACAAATAAAGAGTAGCACAAGCAATTTATCATAAAAGCCAATAATATTTGCAGTAAATATTGCCAAGTTTAAATTATTAGTTAAGAGTAGCACACAAGCTGTAGCAGAAGTCAAATGCAGACAAGTAGCTTTCTTTGGAAGGTCCAATTAACTGATTATTAGAAACCATTTAGACTGATGTGGATTTCAGTCTTAGAAAGAGCATTAAGATGCTTTAAAGATTATGCTTCGAACCACCAGTTTATAGTTTCTACTGTATATCTCAACTGGCTTGTAAGGGTGCTAGACCAGTTTACCATAATTGTCTAGTCACGAAAACTAAGCTGAAGTATTTGTGTATCCCCTGACCTGTGTGTGACCTCTTGCAGTAACACTGATGTTCACACAGTGGCATCCCTCCTGAAGCTCTACCTCAGGGAGCTGCCGGAGCCTGTGATCCCCTTTAACAAATATGAGAACTTTCTAACCTGTCTACAGCTTCTGCTAAAAGATGAAGAAGTGGTGAGTCTGCTATACATCAGTATTTCAATGAGATGAAGTTAATAATGATTGCCCTTGCAAAAAAAGAGATACTCTTTAGTTGAGAAGTATTTATGAAAATAATATACTTTTAAAGAGTATACTTATAAGTATATTGTGTACTGAATGTAATGTTTTCAGACACTTAATTTCATGTTATTTAATATATAACATATTATTGTATTATATTGCAAAATTATTTTAAATGCAATTAGTTGAACTTGAAAGTGCTTTTTTGAACCACTTAAGCGCACTTAAGTACATCTTTATGTCATTTCATAATTTCCTTTGAAATATGTTTAAAGTGCACTAATGAATATTCTGACAAGCATTTATAGTAAACTAAAATAACCTTTACTTTAAAATATATTAACTTTCAATGTAATATGAAAAAACACACTGCAGTTAAAATTATAATCAAGTACATTACATGTGTTTTAGTATGTTAGTCAACACATCAATATAACTGTTTTACTTTAAAACATGACAAAAGATTATAGATTAAAACAACGATTTAATATGTAAAGTAAAACTATTAATTTGACATTATTACAAAGGGCACTTTTTTTTTCTATACACTTCATTGGCCTTTTATTTCAGTAATCAAATATTATCGGCAAGTACAGTTTTTTAAAAATATACTTTTAAGATATTTAGTACACTACAAGGGCACATTCAGTGCAATTAAGCTCACTTCTTTTTCACAAGGATGGTTTTGAAACGCTCACTGCATTTTTTCCTCACCAAAAACCTTGTTTCCTGGATTTGTAATGGATCTTGTTCCCATGTGTCTCCTAAAGGGTCTCAGTGAGCTTGTGAACCAGGTGAACACTCTTCCTCAGGCTAATTATAATTTGTTAAAGTACATTTGCAAGTAAGTGAATATATACTGTAGCATACTATAAGTTTTCTTGTACATGGCGATGTTGTTGAAACAATACCTTTACTGATTTAAATGAATGATAAATGAATGTCTGTTGTATTCACTGTATGTTTTCATGTAGATTCTTAGATGAGGTGCAGTCACATTCGAATGAGAACAAGATGAGCGTTCAGAACCTTGCAACAGTTTTTGGACCAAATATCCTTCGGCCTAAAGTAGAGGACCCTGTTTCAATGATGGAAGGTAAGTAAGTCTTGACATAGTAATATTTATCAGTTTAATATAATTCAAGTTGAAATGACTGGTACAGCCAATCTAATTATACTTATATATATTTTTTTACAGTAAAGAAACTCATATTTGAGTTTTTTTTTTTTTTTTAGGAACCTCCCAGGTTCAGCACCTGATGACGGTGTTGATCAGTGAACATGAGCGTCTGTATGTGGGGCCTGAGGGAGATGCGATTTCAGAGCAGACCAGAATTTGTCGTCAGGGTCAGCGTGGCAGGGCAGAGTGGATCTCCGATGAGGAGATGCTGAACTGCTCATCGCCGAGCCAGACGTCCAAAGTGGCAGAGAGTGTGTGTGGCAGTGCCACGTCCTTAGATATGAATACAGGTGCCCCTACCACTGCCAAAATGACACCTCAGGGAAAAGCTGGGGTGACAGTCAGCCCCAGCAAACAGGCTAAATCCCTCCCCTCTTGGAAATACTCCTTCAAGAGCGGAGGGGTACGTGCTCAACCTGCAAAAATCGGGGGCTCGTCTGTGGATGTGTCCACCTTGCCCAGTACGGGCAACTGGTTGATGAACGGGCTTTCCTCTCTGCGCAGCCACCGGCGTACATCATCAGGAGAGCGCATGGGCAAGGATTCAGCCCCGTCGCACCGTCTATCCACTTACGACAACGTAACCTCATCGAGTCTCAGCGTACCCAGCGTCGCAAGCACGCCCTGGTCCACGTCCTCCTGTGAGATCTTAGTGGACGACTCTGTGGGTAGTGACCCCTCTGGACTGAACTCTGTGAAGGTGGATTGGTCAGTTGGAGGGTCTGTCCAAGGGCAAAGTGGGGACAGGAATTCAGAGGTCACTAAGAGCAGCGAAGCACTGGAAATGTGTGTGAGCAGTGCAGGCTGCAGTGAGAATGGAAGTGGAGAAGATGCAGTGAACGTCACAGGAGATACTGACATTAGCAAGACAGCACTTAACGGCCTGGTAACAGAGCTGAAAGACGAGTTAAAGAAACAGAAGGTCAACTACGAATCACAAATACGAAGGTATGTTTGAAATCCACTGCACATTGATGAAATGTATTTTGTCTTTAGACTTCGTAAGGTCAAGTTTACTTGAAACACTTAAATTAAGCTCAAGACGTGAGCAGTCAACACTTTCTAATCATTCCAGTAATGTTAAGATCTTTTTCAAAGATAAAGTGTGTAATTTTTTCAGTGTTAAAGCAGGAATGAAGCAAAAGTTGCAATTGTCATTTATTTCCTATTGTGACATATATGAGTGAAACAGCTTCTTGAACAAGAAGAAATGTAGGATGGAACTTAATTTTATCCATCTAGAATTAATCATTGTTGTCGCTAATTGCTGTAATCTCATGTGATTGACAGGCCAATAGCCTCGTGGTTAGTGCGTCAACACATAGTGCAACTACGCTCACGGTGACCCAATTTCGATTCCCGTTTCGAGGTCCTTTGCCGATCCCGCTCCCTTCTCTCCTCCCAGTGCTTTCCTGTCATTTCTCTACTGTCGTATCTCAATAAAAAAGGCATAAAAAGCCCATAAAAAATACTTAAAAGGTTAACTGTCAATTTTGATATCAGTTTGACATCACATATTACTGCTTCTGGTTCCAAATGGATGCCAAAAGCAAGCTACAAATGGTGCTAATATACACTCGGTGTGCTTGTACTAGTAGTACTGAAAAATCATGATCCTAACCTTTATCTTCATAATGAATTCTCAGTTGGCCAGAGAGTGATTCATCTTTTATTAATCGTTATTAATTTTGAGCCCGGAGACTGTTGTTTAAACTGAGTTTTTAAAAGCTGAGCTTAAATGTGATACAAAAAAAAAAAATCGTGCTCATAAACATCTGAAGCAAGTAGATGCTTGGACCCGGAAACAATATTCCTTACATTATGACTGTAACGGAGGCGACGAGACGAGAGACGTGCGGATCCATTTGCAGGCTTTTATTAAACAGAGACGTGGTCATAAGAGGCATGGGTCAAACAGTGACAAACAGGTACATTTCAGACAAGAAAAATTGTATTCCTAGGGCAAGCGTGGGTCTATGATCAGCGAACAATATCCAGAGGGTTTGACACGAGGGGTTATCCAATAACACAAGCAATAGTCCAGACAAGGTGCAAACACAGTCCGAAACAGCAGGCAAAGGGTTAATCCAAGATACAGAGGCAGAAGATCAGGAAACAGACAACAAGGCAACATGAAATGACTAGACTTAGACTAGAACTAGAAACGGAAACTTGGAATGGCTCCGTAATGTAGCTATCACTAGAAGAGTGATATACGCTGAACAATACTCGGCGACTTGAGTAGGATGTGGGTGGATGTTATATAGTGTGTGTAATAGCTTTCAAGTGAGCGTGTGATTGGTTACAGCTGTGTGCAATCAGTGCAATGGATGATGGGAAATGTAGTCCAGGGTATAGTGTAACAGTCTGTGTAGTGTGAGAGTCCATGTAGTGAGCGGGTGACCTCTGGTGGTGAGTGAATGGAAGTTCATAGACCGGATTTGTGACAATGACTTAACAAGCGGATTATGGTGACTAATAAAATGCTTACTCCTATTATAGTTTTAATATGCAGACATGAGGAAGCCATTTTGTTGGTTGATTTTCCATGAAAAAGAGTAAAGACTGTGGACCTTCTTCTGTCTCTGCCAAAGAACAGAGTGTTTGAGAAACCTGCTTGACAACATTTATTATTTTGCATTCTTATTTGATACTGCTAGTGGTGCAGAAATTGCACACTTTATGTATAGTAAATAGTGTATTATTTAAAAGGAGAACAAAACCATTTTTGAGCAACCTTCAGAAGTTCAAAAAAAGTGTATTTTTATTTTTAAAAAATATATTTTTATAGTGTGTTAATATTCTGGGAGAAGAACACCTGCTATTTGTAAATAATAACAACATTTTTATGGAGTTTTCTTTGTATTTCTTACAGTATCACATAGAGTACTTGGCATTAATGTTAAAATCTAATTATCATAATGAATTTTTCTAAGGCTAGAGGAATCAAGTGTCACTATGCGTAACCAAATGGAGAGACTAGAGGAGGAGTTGGACCAGGAGAAGAAAAAGTATCGCATGTTGGAAATTAAACTCCGCAACTCTGAGCGGGCCCATGAGGACGCAGAGACCCGCAACCGCTTGCTTCAGAACGAGATGGAGGAGTTCTTCTCCACTTTGGGAGATCTTACGTTGGGAACAAGGGCAAGCCAAATTTGACTGGCCCTCTTACAGGCCTCCTGATTTAACACTGAGAAACTATGTGTTTGTTGTAGATAGAATTTCGAAACCTCTCTGCTCATGCATCATGAGTATTCAGAGGTAATTTTGTGCTGTTTTGTTACAGCGACTTGATCATGTGTAGCAGTTACACTTTTCTCCCTGATCTTCAGTCTTTCATTTTAAAGGGATAGTTCACACAAAAATACAAATGCAATGGTTATTTACTCACCATCATATTGTTCCAAACCAATATGCTGTTTTTCTGTAGAGAACATAAGGATAATTTTTGAAAAATCTTCACAAGTAGTGCACATTTTGTGTGAAGAACATACCAAAATGTAAATCTTGTTCTTAATGTCAAACTTGCCACTTCTTCTTTGTAAATAATAACAATATTTTCATTTTCAGGTGAACTATTCCTTTAAGGTGCCATTCAGTTTCCATTAGCATTCATCACTTTCATAACTTAACATGCACAGATAATACCAAAGCATGACATTTCTGACCAGACTGTCTCACAAAGGCAGGTCATTTTAATGGCATTTCCTGTTAATGCATGGTATGAAAGATGTC